GCAGCCGCTGCTCCCTCGGCCCGGCTCGGCTGTTGGGAGCTGGGCTGGGCTTGGCTGTGCTGAGCTGGGCTGCGCTGGGTCGGTGTCGGCGGCGCCTTAGCCGAGACCACCACCCAGCGGTGCGCGCTGGGACTGCGCCCGCCGCCGCCCGCTGCCCGCGCTGCCGCTCGCCCCGGCCCACGGACACGCGCGCACACGCTCGGGGCCGCCGCTCGGCCGCGGGTGAGCCCGGGGTGGGACGCGAGCACATCAAAATGGGAATGGATGTGTCGGCAAAGATCGGGATGAGCCCTGTGGGGTCGCCGCTTGAGTACTATAAAGCAGGGATGGCTGGAACGTCCCTGGGTGTCTCTGCACACTTCTGCCCACAGCCCAAGAGATCTGTCAGCGCTCAACTCCCGGCAGGCGAGTCCCTGCCTTTCCAGAAATGTAGCAGTAAACGTGGCACAAGTCTTTTCCCACCGCAGCGTGAGGCAGAGACTGATCTCAGAGGGACACTTCTTCCTTCCCTGAACGAAGAAACCGGCCCGGAGCACTGGCAGTGCAGCAGCAACAGCAGGGACATGGCACTGAACGCCCTCTCGGCTTCATCTCGCAATTCAAGACATGTACCAGCTAAACATTACCTCACTCAAAGGACACGCTGAGAATAAAACTCTCAGACTTTTGAAAACCCTTGGCAGACCTTTCCAGAACGAATGATTCTACCAAGATTTTTGTTTCCACTCAAAGAATTAGGGTGCTCTCTTTATTTCACTCTTACACATTATTGCAGTTTTTACACTCAGGGGTATCCTTCTTTACAATGTTACAGTCTATAACTTCAGCAGAACATAGCGTAAGGCTTTCGGAATTTTCTGTGCATCACAGACGCCATTCAAGCAGTCAGTTATGATAGATGGGGTGTCAGTTCTTCTTTAAGGGAATAGGCAAGTAAATCCTTACACACGGTTCAGGGATTTAAAGCAAAAATCACAACAGGGAGAATGCAAATGCTGTCACACAAACCCAGAAAGTCATGCAGGGACAGCTTTCCACTCCCATCAAGAAGCCTCCCAATTCAGGATCAACACTGAGGACATCAAAGTCCATGTCCTTTTCACAACTTCATTCTGGCTGAACTTTCAGAAAATGCTCTTTGAAGGACATGTGGAGTTTTCATGCAAGTCACTCAAAGACAATGAATATTCTTTCACAATTCTGGACAGTTACTCTCTACCCTAACACTGCTTGTGCTGCTGTATTCCAAGGCAGTCCCAAGGTGACAAAACACCCAGCCCACTCTTATTGGCCAAAGGAAGTGCATTTGTGCATTTTTCTTCCCTACCACAAAGAAGATGAGATTGCTGTACTCCAAGGGCCAAAATACCTTTCTCATCTGCTTGGCTGGAATTGCCTGGGTTGCAATGGCTGAATGGGAGCAACTGCCTCATTCACCTGGCAGCACTAGCTACGAATCGACAGGCGTGGTGACAAGAAAGCAAAGGACACAGGGCCCAGACATCTCAGCCAAACATATCTGGAACCCAGGAAAGGAAGAGCCCCATATTTACATGTCCTTGTGACACTGCACTGACAACTGCCTAATTTTCCTCAGCTGGGAAAAGGTCATTGTGCATTTCAGCAAGGATGAAGTTTGTCTGTCCTATTTTCTGTGCCACACTGTTACAGAACAGAATGAAGGGTCCACGGTCTTGTCTGATAGCAAGAGAGACAAAAGCTCAGCTGGGAGAGCTAACTACATTCTTAAAGTCTCTAAGGAAGAGCCTTAACAGCCCTGCAACATGAATGTCTAATTGAAAGAGGTCTGGTTCCCTTGTTTACTTGTTTGCATTTAGGGGAACACAAGCATTCCTTGAATTAAAATTTTGGGGAATTTTTTTATACCAATTTCAAGTAGAGATTTATTCTGGAAGAACCATTACCATAGGCTGCATCCCTTCTGACCACGAGGCATGAAGTCTCTGGCTGTGACGACTCCGTGCTAGTTAAAGGAAAGACGATTGAACTGTTCTGCAGACACAGGCCCAGCATTGTCTGGGGTCACGTCCTCTGTGGGGACAGGGACACAAGGGAAAACCTGTTCCTCACCGGTGCCCCCGCCCATGACACAGGGCTGTGGTGGCAGGCTGGGGACGAAGGGCTTGAGGAACCTGAACTCGCTGTTGCCCGAGCCCGTGGTGAGGCTGATCTCGTAGCAGTAGGGGCGGGGCAGGGTCCCCGCAGCAGCTGCATCGGCCAGGCCGCTCGGCAGGTTGTCGGCCCCGGAAAGCACGTGGCCAGCCT